TCCTGACCTTATATATATATATATATATATATATATAACACATAATTTTGTTGCCTTGGGTTTATTATACTATTTTTTTCCCTCTCTTTTTCTTTCACTCTGTTGTTTTCTGTTAGAGAAGTATCTTTTCTAACAGAACAGAATTAAGAAACACATTTTTCTATCCAGAACAGAATTAGCGAATGCATTTTGCAATTGCTCAGAAGGAATTTTGAACTGCATTTTAAAAAAAATAAAAATAAAGAATAAGTTACCAGAATTATGTTGTGTTGCCTGTCTGACATTTTTCTCAATGTAAGAGCTACTTAGAATAAGTACTATTTCAGTTAATTAAATATATTTTAAGTTTTTAATGGATGTGGTGTCTTTCATGAAAGGAAAATGTATGATGGCCTATTTATTTTGCAACTTGATCCGTGATGGCCTTGTCTTGAACTGGATTTCATTATTTGATGGTTCAACGTTCTTCATTGTAGCTTGCAGATGCAGCAAAATCTCGATTCTCCGGTGCATACAGTGACCACCTTGCACTTGTAAGGGCTTATGAGGGTTGGAAAGAGGCTGAAATAGATCTGGGTGGATACGAATACTGCTGGAAAAATTTTCTTTCTGTGCAATCCATGAAAGCTATTGATGCTCTTCGGGGGGAGTTCATATGCCTGCTCAAGGATATTGGATTAGTTGATAGCAACACAGCCAGCTGCAATGCATGGAGCTATGATGTGAATCTTATCCGGGCAGTTATTTGCTATGGTCTATATCCTGGAATTTGTTCTGTTGTGGTATGTATTTTTGTATGACAAACATAATATGTTAATTTAGAAGCCTGTCCCCTCTAATCATTGGTGGATGGAGGTTGGGACCAAGAGGGGTACATACCCCTCCGCACCTTGTCTTTTAACTTTTAAGATTACATCTCATTTTAACATGTTCACAAGATCTTCTCCCTAATATTCCCTTCCTCAATAATTTTCTCTTTGTTAAATCCCAATTTTCCTTTTCTATTTCTCCCTCTTTTACCGTATAAAAAGGAGTGATGCTGTTACAGCTCTGGATTTGGAAAATGCAAATGGAATGAGGAGCAGGGGAAAGATTGAAGATGAAAAGGGAAAACTTTATTGATTAAGAAAAAAGAAATACAAGAGCTATGCTCTTCACAAGGGAGAATTCCCTTCACACTGAGAAACTGCTTAGTAAATCACTAACTCAGCCAAAAGTGCCTAACAATGGGAACTATGCCCCTTTTATACACATTCTGGGAATTCCTCTTATACATCTAACTGTCTATCTTCCTAACATGGTGTTACTAACTACCCATAGCTGTAATTAAAGCCCTTGACAGAAAGAATAGTCCACAACTACTAATTGCCTAACTGCCAGGTGTCTGAGGTATAACATGAGTCGTAACAGCTGCTAATACACAACCATACACACAAAAGAAATCACAACTAAGCTCTGCAAGTCATTGATTCAAAGGACAGTTAATTATTGAATAGCTTGATGAGTCTAATTGTTGTTTTTTGTGAGTTTATAGTTTTTAGAGTAAAGCCCCTTTTTGGGTCCCTAACAAAAAAGCACGGTTCCCACATTAGTCTCTTACAAAAAAAAAATTAGTCCCAAGGTCCCTAAGAAATTAAAAGTGGACTCATTTAGTTGAAATCGTGGTTCCTCACAAATTCAAAAAAGATCCATATTAGTCCCTCAAAATGACTTAAATGGGTCCACTTTGAATTTCATAGGGACCATGCGACTAATTTTTTTTTATAAGGGACTAAAGTGAGGACCGTGTTTTTTGTTAGGGACCCAAAAGGGACTTTACTCTAGTTTTTACTCTAGCATTACTGTAAAATAGTTTCCTTGTACAAAAATTGTATTGTACATTCTTTATTTTTATAAATTTTCTGAGTTATATATGAAGAGAAAGAATTAAAATATAATTAGTATTTCCGTTAGTGTAAGTTATAATATACTGACAATATCTTATATTCGAGTTATTATATTTAACTCAATCGTTTTGTTACAAATCTATCATTATTCAAACAACTTTTGGTCATCAAATTCTCATACTTATGCCCATCCTGAAATTCAGTCTTGGTCACTGTCCTAAAAAGATTGTTTACTTCTTGGAGCTGTACAATGTGTTAATATTGTATATTTAGTATACTCTTATGTTTTGGGAATATAAAATAAGGTGTAATTTCATTTGCAGCATAATGAGAAGTCATTCTCTCTGAAAACAATGGAGGATGGTCAGGTGCTCCTATATTCGGTTAGTCTTTCAAATCATTATAATTTGCTGATAGACGTAAAATTCTTTAAATACTTGTTATCAGGTTTATATTCTGTCTTGTGATTTGTTGCTTTCTCTTTGCATGTTTATTCCATTTGCCTAGAACTCGGTGAATGCTCGGGAAACTAAAATTCCATATCCATGGTTTGTTTTTAATGAGAAGATAAAAGTGAACTCAGTTTTTCTCCGTGACTCAACAGCAGTGTCTGATTCGGTGGTGCTTTTGTTTGGAGGAAGCTTATCGAAAGGAGATGCTGTAAGTGATATGTACTGTTTTATTGGTTCTTGTTTATTCTATATTCTATTAGACGTTACAGTTTCAAATTGCTGTCTATGTTTTAGTTGTATGTTTTCCTTGAATTTGATCCTTTTCTATCAGGATGATCACTTAAAAATGTTAGGAGGATATCTGGAGTTTTTCATGGAAGCTGCTGTTGCTGACTTGTACCTGAGTATAAGGAGAGAACTTGACGACTTCATTCAGAGCAAAGTACGTGCAAATTAATTTCATGCTCTTACCAGCTTCCCCTTGATATTTGAATATTGAAAACGAAAACTAGAACGTAATTTCTTAATGCAAATGGAAGTAGCATTTTGTTCAAGTGCTTTTTCTCTGGGGCAACCTGCATTGATGACATCAACAGTTAATTTTTAATTTACACTGTTGTACTTAGCAGCTTCTTTTTCCAAGAATGAGCATACACTTGTATCATGATCTCCTATCTGCGGTACGGTTGCTGATTTCAAACGACAAATGTGAAGGAAGATTTGTATTTGGTCGCCAGGTCTTTAAACCGTCAAAGCAATCTATTGTGGCTTCACATCCACCATTGGTTTCAAGGACTGAGAGTGGACCTGGGGGTGACAATTCTAAAAGTCAGCTCCAAACCTTGCTAACAAGAGCAGGATATGCTGCACCCGTCTACAAGACTAAACAATTGAAGAACAATCAGTTTCGGGCTACAGTCGAGTTCAACGGAATGCAAATAATGGGCCAACCTTGTAACAATAAGAAGAGTGCTGAAAAAGATGCTGCAGCTGAGGCGCTGCAATGGCTGATAGATGGAAGGCAGACAGGCAGTGATTATATCAACCACATGTCAATTTTGCTAAAGAAAAGTAAGAAGGATCACAATTAAGCAGGCAACTATGATGAGCGTAATGCCAAGGTGAAGGAGCTCAAGGTTGATGTACTTGACCTCAATGTTGTAGTTGATGTACTCCTCTTGGTGATAATTCTATATTCTAGAGGGGAGTAGGAACCACAGCATTTAGGACTAGTAGATTAACCTTGGCATTAAGCTCCTTAATTGTGATCCTTTTACTTTTCTTTACCAACGTCGACATGTGGTTGATATAATCACTGCATGTCTGCTTTTTACCCATCAGCCATTGCAGCGCCTCAGCTGCAGCATATTTTTCTGCACTCTTATTATTACAAGGTTTGGCGGCGGCGGCATTGTTACTGTATGGTCCTGGATCTCTTAATCAATTTGTTCTTGAAAACAGCCAGGCCCGTATCCAAGATCAAAGAGATTCAATTTTGAAATTGGAAGATACTAATTGTTGATTGAAGCAAAATAACATGAAGCAAGAAATTGCCAATCAAAGCTTGAGGATATTAACTGTCCAATTTGATGCTTTGTATCTTCAGCGAGAAAATAGATGGTTAGTGGTAGGGTCATCTTACAACAGGAGAATGTAGTTCATAGCATGCATTCATTATTGAAGGGATGTGCACATTTAGCGGGAATTGATGCCATACTTGAGTTCCGGTATCTTATCCCATTAATTCTTTGTACAGTATTAATTCTGATATCATGAAATCCTACATATGCAGAACCTCATAGGCTTTTCTTTTGTTTTTGTGAGCAAAATGAGATTGAAAATGAAAGTAACTAGTTTTGGATATATGGTAGGTGAAAGAGAAAATTGTTAACGGTTGTTTAGCATCATAAAAATTTGAAAAGAGAAAATGTAGGAAAGTTTGAATTGATCACATTCTGCCCGTTGTCTCAATACGTACAAGGGACGCGATTCCATTGCCAACTTGAGTGTGATCAAACTTATACAAATTACAGTTTCAGTTACACTTAGCTTTGAGTAATGCAATATAACAGGAAAAAAATTATTAAGATTCATTGGCTTTTCAGACTTTCTTTATTGCTTCCATCTGTTTCTTCCACCAACAGACTAAAAGGCCGCTTTTACATGGCTCGTACAATGGTACAATTTCATCTGTTTATGTAGTACTTACGATTATCTGCCCCACAAATGGAGAAAGTACGTTTTTAAATTAGTTTATTTTTCATTGAACGCAACTTGTAATCAGAATCAGATTTAGATTGTTTTTTTTTTTTTTTTTAAATTCAAAGCAGCTATAGCTAATATTTGCTTAGGAAAAAAAGCATTTTCTATTTCAAATTAGAAAGCTTGTAAAGACCGGCATTATCCCTTTGGATTGTTAAAATATCACCGTACGTGCAGAAACAATGATCATTAACTATACATTCAAAAAAGTCTTTCACCAAAAGAGTCGGGTTATTATTTTTATCACTTTTCAATTACTCTATTGTTATATAAGATAATATAACTTCTTACGGACCCATCAATTTTTGTGTCTCTTTTTTAATAAATAGTGAATCCACATGATTAAATCTACAACATCAGATAATATATCTCCTATTACATAAGAATAATATAACCCATAAATATATCACTCACAGAACAATCGATTACATAAGCCAATATGTTGTTTACCAAAAAAAAGAAGAAGCCAATATGAGGTTCCCCATCACAAACGGGACTACAAAGAGCAAAATCTTTGAACAGCACAAATAACCAATAACAAAGTAAATATTGTTTTTCTCATGTTCTTTCCCTTGTGGACTTTTACTAATCCCCAACCTCGACTGCACCAAGAAAAGCTTTCTTTTATAGCTCACTTTATTCAAACTCATTTGCTAGAAGTTAGGGGTGAAAAAAAGTACAAACATCTAAGTCTCCTCAGAATTCACTGCTACTAAGGAATGATAAATAGTTCAAAACAAAGGCACGAAAACACCTAAACTTTTAGTAGGTATAGCCCTTGACAAACATTCCCTTATTGGCTTCCTCACTTTCACCCTCGGCAGAATACCTTCCAAGTTGAGCCAAGGAGTTTGCTTTAGCACGCACCAAAAGAGCTTTCTGAGCAGCTTCTGCATTCTCCGGGCGTCCTTGCCACGTCTTAAGCACAGTGTTCTGCAGAGCTCGTGCATACGAGAAAGAAACATGCCATGGGTTGGGACTTTTGTTCATTGCATTAAGATTTAGTGTTGCTTCCACTTCAGATTGTCCACCTGACAAAAACTGAGCACACAAACAGAACATAGTTCCCAGTTAAATTTAGTTGAACTTAAGAATGCAATCTTCAAAGAAAAATTCATTAAAATTAGTATCATCATGATGTGCTTGCCATGCATCCGTCCAAATTAGCTACAATCAAGAAACAGTTTGTACAGGGGAGATATGATATATCACAAATCAATTAATGTGAAGAGAAAACAAAAAGGAGCAGTAAGTGTACCATGATTCCTGGGACTGCAGGAGGAACTCTTCTTCTAAGCATGGTTAGAGTATATTTGGCAATGGTTTCTGGAGAAGCCTTTTCCTTGTGTTCAGCTCCAGGTGTAACCATGCTGGGTTTGAGTAAAATTCCCTCAAAAATGACATTGTTTTCAGCCAAATAGAAGAAGACTTCTGCCCAGACCTTCTCGGCCACTTCCAGTGTCCTCTCAATTGGGTGGTCCCCATCAAGAAGAATCTCAGGCTCTACAATTGGAACAAGACCGTTGTCCTGCAATGGAATATAAGAAATGGCGTCCATTAAATCTAAAAAGGTCAAATAAACTGAAAACCAAATGTAGTCTTTTACTTCTTTTTTAAAAAATGAAGGTAAACAAAAAGTACCATATGTACTATATCTATTTCCAATCAGATTAACCGAATGAGGTTACAGTGCTGGAGGACGAGTGCAGTGTGCGGAAAAACCTTGCTTGAGATAAGCAATACACAAGTGTTTTATTATGTACACTGACATCAAGCATCAAGCCACAAGAGCTCATTACATAGCAAAAATTATATGGTTTCCATTCAAAAAAAATTGACACAACCTGTGCACAAGTTGACTGTTAAAATATCTGCTAAAGTTGTCACATAGACCAAACTAAACTGATAACCAACTTTCACTCCCTTCAAATGAAAGAACCACCCTTTTCAGAAGGGTATGGTGAAGGGGACCAAAGGATGAACTATGAAATCACATCAATTCCTCTAAGAATGAGTTCATTTCAACAAACAAAGATTCATGGGTGAAAAAATACCTGAGAGATAGCAGCATAACGTGCAAGTCCCCATGCTGCTTCCTTAACAGCTAATGCAGAAGGACCACATGGAATGCTAACAACTGTCCGCCTGTATATTACAAAAGCAAACCACCATCTCAATTCAATTTCAATTTCAATTTCAATGCATCCTATGAACAAGAAAGTTTCATAAAGAAGAAATGAAGAATGACTTACCACTTGGCAAACCGAGCACCCTGCTTGTAGTATTCAGCAGATCTAGAAGCCAATCCATCTAACCCTTGGCACCAAGATTCATTGTTTGAACCAGGCAAAGGGACCAAACCCTAATAAGAAAAAACTAAAAAAATAACTACCGAGCAAATTTATAATTAGCGAGACAGGATAGCAAGGATAGAGATCACAAACAAACAAACAAGAGACCTTATCAACTTTGATGCCAGGTACAATCTTCTCCTCACGGAGGCAGTCCACAAACTTCTTTCCATCTGCTGTTGACTGATAAAGGGTTTCTTCAAAAAGAATGGAACCAGAAATGTATTCACCAAGGCCAGGTGTTGTCAGCAGAAGTTGCCTGTAGGCCTGGCGATTGACCTCAGTATTATCCAATCCAATGGATGCTAACCTCTTTCCACAAGTTGCATTTGACTCATCAATTGCAAGAATGCCACGACCAGGAGATGCAATAGTTTTCTATACAACCAAGAAACAAATCAAATTAAATTACCGGTATTCAAGCTTCTCTTTTTGTCAAAAGAAGAAAAAGTTATCTTGATAACTAAACTAGAATAGATCAACACAGAACAACAACAACAACTCAAAGCATCCTCCAAGATAAAATCTCGTCATCCTAAAGAACCAGTAAAAAGTCAAACAATGCAAAATTCAAGGAAATCTCATAGTAAATTGATGAACAAAATGAAAAGTGGTAGGTGGTTAACCAAATATGTAAATCAACAACCAAAACCAAAGGCACATATAGTGTATCCAACAAAAGCAAAGTTAAAAACTTTCTAGCACGAATACGTTGGAATTTAACAGAATTAAACAAGGGCAGGATCAAATTAAGTGTTATGATCGAAAGAAGAAAAAAAAAAAACAGAAAGATAACAGAGTATGCAAAAGGGGACTAACGGCGGTTTGGACAAGTTCGTCGGCGTAAGAAGCGGCGCGGATCGGAAGGGAAACTCGGCGAGTGGCGATGAGAGGGGAAGATCCACGGCGAGAAGAGAAGGAGTTGTTGCCGATCCACTGGGAAGACAAAGAGTTGAGCTTGGCGAAGCTTGAACACGCCATTGAGTTTGTGAATACAAGAGAAGAGAAGAGTTTGTAATAGTACAATGTTGTTGTTGTTGTTGTTGATGTGTTTAATGAAACTGTGATATGTGAGTGTATATGTTGATGTTGTATGGGTTTATAGAGAAAAACAAGGTTTGCTATTGCTAACACACACACTCTCTTTGTATATATCTCGGCCACTCCGTCCTCGGTAGGTAATAAAGACAGCCGTCATGCGGCAATACCAAACTCCCATCACCAAACCACTTTTTTTTTTTATTTTTTATTTTCAAATAAACAAAAGTTATCTTATTCGATGATGGCGATATCTCACGGTTAAAATTAATTCTTTTCGAATATATTTGTTTTTAAAAAGATTGTATGTTGAATTAGTATCAATTAGGATTTTGATTTATTTTATATTGAATTAACGGAATAATATTTTAAAAGAATATTATTCCACAAAACAAATTTGTCTGACAGTTTTTTTTACAATAAAAAATAAGTTTTATAAATATAATATTTTCATCTTTATCAACCGAACGAATCATGCTAATTTCTAATACTTCATTTAATATTTTGATTTTTTCTTCACCACGTGAGGCTAACTTCCTCAATTATTATTAATATTATGGTTAAAAAAATCTTCTCCACCGATAACTTATTTAAAACTTTAGAATTTTAAATTTTTAACTGTGCGATTTGTATATCAGCATACGCAATCATGATATCAATAATTTTTTAAATTACGTTACGGAGTTCACCCTATTTACACTTATACGCTGTTAAAGGAATCTAAGTAAGAATATTCCACAGCATCTACATTATCGCTGATTTGTTTATGAGTTTGTTTTTTCTAAATGTTAGTTTAGATAACTTTATTTAATGTTCATCGAAATCACATTGTTTTGAGGCGAAAATTATGGTATTTTATAATTTTAATTTATTTCATGATTATAATAATTTTTTTCATTCTAATTTTTTAATTTTTTTTTGGAATATTAATTTTTTAATTTTTTAATCCCAAATTGTTTTGATGAACATTAGATAAAGTTATTTAAAGTAACATTAGATCCTTTTTCCCTTTGTTTATTTAATAAAAAATGATGAACTTCAAAAAGAATTATTCTTTAAATAAATACAGTAAAAGTGAGTACCTTGTGTTTTGATGTAACATAACTATTTTATTTATGAACTTTATTATTCTCATGTTATATAAATTTTTTTTTTATTTCTTACACATAAATTTAAGGTATGTCTTATTTTATTTTTTATTTTTTGAAAGTGGACTCCACTTGTACAAATAAATCTGTTGGAGATAATAGTTTTCTTCTACGAGAAAACTATTACCCTTTATTAATTTGTTAAACATACTTGTCGATATTATCCCTTTTTGAATATAATATATTTGAATGTTACAGAGTCAATTTTTTTTTTTTCAAATTGCCATAACACCGTAGTCACTGAGATAGTATGTTACTATGGACTGGACACGTGTCACGTCCCAAGTGGCTGGACACGCAACTAATTCAATTCAAAGTCGCTGAGGTAGTCAGCTACTTTGGTGCAACCAAACCTTTTAGCCGCTGGGGAAGTGACACGTGTCCCGTCCATAGTAGCTGATTACCTTAGCGACTATGGTGTCGTGACAGTTTGAAATTTTTTTTTAACTCAATAACATTTAGATATATTATATTTAAAAAAAAGACAATATGGTCAATGTCCCAATTTTTTTTTAGTCAAGTTTTATATATGCTTGTTTGGAATAGTATAACTAACAGAAACCATCAAAGTGATGCTGATGGTTGGTTCTGTCTATTTAGCAACAAATGTATCAGCTAAGTACAATAGTGTTTTCCTCTCTCATATTCCGTAGTTGATAAGGTTGATTTGAAACCCCAAGTGGCAAGTGGCTTCTTCATTCTTATTATGTTTCAGCAATACTTTCATGGATGAAATGGTCTTATACCCTAATTCTTTGTCTTGTTTGTCTTAAATAGCAATTGGATAGTCAGTCCCCTTTCCTCAAGTTTTGTTCCAATTTGCATTTTATATTAGCAGAACATAAGAGATTCATCCGAAATGTACTCTCTAAGCATTGAAACGTGGCTAACTAAGTCCATGCACTCCATATCATTTGGTAGAGCTGGGCTATAAGCAACGATATTAATTTTTTATTGCATGTAGTAAACCATATCTAAAATATTTTAAAACTGCATGAGATCCTGTTTCTTAAATATAATTTATTTCTTAATTAATTTGATATTCTAATACAAACACTACTCATTAATTATAAACCTTTCATCTAGTTCCAAGATATATTATGGGCCTTAGTGATGAGGCCCGTCCAGAACAGGCCTAAAATAATCGTGTAGCAGGATATATTATGTTTGATTTAGCTTTTGTATTAGATAAAAACGATGGTTATTATTTTACCTTTTCTCAAGCTATTTTGAGACATCTAAAAGTTAATACACTATTAATCAAAAGAAAGTACGTCGGGGTTTTGATTGGTTGATATGAGAAGATACGTTAACCAAAAAAAATAAAAGGTATTGAATTTGGTAATTAATTCATCAGTTTAAGTCTTTCTTGAAACTTATGAAATATAAAAATGAAACTCCCCTTCTCATAGACTTTTCATTTACAAAAGAAAGTGTTATGTTTTAATAAAATAAATGGAAAAAGAAAGTAAAATCCATAATCACTTGGATGCAATTTTATTTGTATCCATTGGATGTATAAAGAAGGCAAAGACAAAGTCCATAATGAGGAGAAGCATATACTATCTTTATTCCAGAAACATCACAATACACCACTTTGCATACTGGCTTCCAAACCACACCCCCTCTTCGTATAAGGATCATGCACTCTTTATTTAATCTTTATCTTTAATCAATGTTAATAAGATTTAAATTTTGGTTTACAATATATTATCATCTAACTTTTTGAAATAGTTGTCATCATCACTCATCATAATTAAACTTATAAGTAATACACAATTATTAAATTATAATATAATTTCTTTTGATGAGATTAAAATTTGATGTTGAAAATCCTTTAAAAGAAATCAAACCAGAGAGACATGAATTGAACTATATTGAACCCTATACAGCCACCTTGTTCAAATTCAACATTGTTCTTCAAAGTTTCAATCTTTTTTCCGATGTTGTCATAACCCTTCTCTTCTATTCTTTCTCTATTTTTTATTTTTTTATTTTTTTGGGTGGTCTTTCATTTCACACCGAGCATGTCCCAGAATGGTTCGTTGGAGCGGAGGACACAACAGCATCAGCAGCCACGCGCGTCGAATGGAGAGGTAGTTGCGGCAACAACGTTGTATGGTTCGAACAGCAACAGGCTCCGTGGAAGCCCCAAAAAAGACCACAAACCCGACAACTATGAAGACCTTCAATTGGAGTTCAACCCTCTTGTGTTCAGCTCTCTGGAGCAGTATATGCCTCACCACATGCTCAACATGTCACGAGACGTTAAGGCTCGTTACATGAGCACCATTCTGTTCCGTTATTTACCTGAGAGTGAACGCATTCGGGTGTGTATGATATATACTATTTTGGAGCTTTTGGGGGTTTTATTATTCACTTTGTTTTATCTTGAAAATAATGGGATACTTCAGGTGCCCACAAGGGTATTGAAGATTGGAAGCATTGCCTTTTTCTCATTTTCTGATTAAAAAATTGATTTTGACATTGCCCTCAATTAGTAAGGTTCGTGGGCATTGATTGTATGGCGAAATGCAATGTTGCTCTAGCTGTACTTTGTTTGCTGGTTGCTGCCTGCATTGTTGCTTGATTTATTGAGAGATTTTGAGAGAAGTTAGGGGGGAAACATGTTGACCATTTTTTATTTGAGAATTGGGAAAGGTGGTTTTTTTTTTTTTTTCTTGTTTCATCTCTCTTTTTCGGCTAACAATTTGGATCCTCTTATACTTTTGACTGCTGAGTAGATTCCTACAGTGACGGTGATATTTGTTTAACAAGTTGGTCTTTCATTAAGACATAGTTCCAAATCATTCACTTCATTAGACGTGTCTTCTTTGTTCTTAGAATAATGCCAATCTTATCTTTAATTTACTTGCCTTTTATTCGTTGGAAGTGCTTGCTTGTGCCTTTTCTAGAAATGGTACATCTGCTAGGCATATTAATGGATTTTATGGAAGCTTAATATTCCTTTGCATGAGGCTGGAAGGTCTGGATTTGCTGTCTGCATTTGTTGTAGGAAATGTAATTTTGTTAATGATGATATCAATTGGTTGCCTTTCCTAAAGCCATTTCTGATGTTCGGATTCACTTTTCAAGTTACTTCGTTATATGTCATGTGAACTGCCAAGAAATAAGGCATGTTTAAGAGTCAGTTTGTTACCCTAGAATGTGTGGAACGAGCATTCTTCAGAAGTGCCAATTTCAAGCTTCTTAGTGATCTCTTGTTCTTTCAAAGTTAGATGAAAGCCACCTTTGATCACTCCAATATGTAAAGCTTAACCTAGAATGTAGGAAATTATGAATAGTGAGTAGTGATTTTAAGTTTAAAAAATCCTCTATTCTCTAAATAAAAATATTAAAAAAAAAAGCAGATTATCACAACATTTGTAAGTTGCCAGTATAGAAAAAGTTACTTGTTAACCTAAAAAGGTGATGACAAATGAGCCCAATATTTGCCGATTTGTGATAATGAGGTTCTCTTAGTATGACCAACGAGATGGTTTTTTTTTTTTTTTTCTCCTGATATTTTCTCTTTGGCTTGGTTTTGTTGTTCACTTTTTGAGTTTTTGTTGTTCTATATTGGAACAGATTCAAAAGCACAAGGAATACAGGCAAAAGATCATAATGAATTATCCGGTAAGTTCTAATGAACTTCAAAATGGTAGCTTTGTCCATTTGTAAATCGAACATTTCAATGGCTTCATTTTATGTAGAATCTTGAGGGGAGGCATTTTTTATTTGATACTTATCTATGAGAATTTGGAGTCAGCACATGTTGATATTAGAATTTTATGACCTGAGAACGATCATCTTGTAGCATATATGCACCAATCATGCTTGATCTTACCAACTATTCACTTTTGTTTGTAGCCGCTACACAAGGAGATATATGCTATGCATGCTGAAAACTTTTTTGCGCCCTCATTTCTCAAAGCAATTAAAGAAAATACAGAAGCGAGTTTTAAAAGTGTAATGGTTGAACCCTCTAGAGGAATTTATACGTTTGAAATGCTTCAACCACAGTTTTGTGAAATGTTGGTATCTGAGGTATCACATTTCTTTCCATTACTTTTCATGTATATATCATTTTATCCGTTCTATAGTAGTGTTTTATGTTTTCTTATCAGGTTCTGATTGCTTAGGTGGATCATTTTGAAAGATGGGTCCATGAGACCAAATTCAGAATCATGCGACCTAATACAATGAATCAATATGGTGCTGTTCTTGATGATTTTGGCCTGGAAAACATGCTTGACAGATTGATGAATGATTTCATACGTCCTATATCTCGAGGTTATTTTTTTTTTCTTTTTCTTGATGAGAATATAGGAGAAACTTAGGACTGAGATAAAGAAACAAATATAATGACATGAACTCACCTTTTGAATTTTTTTGTAGTTTTCTTTACTGAACTTGGTGGATCCACGCTGGACTCTCATCATGGTTTTGTTGTTGAATATGGAATCAATAGGGATGTGGAACTTGGTAGGTTTTTCAAACTTCTGTCATTAATTTTGTGACTTTGCTATTACCTGGAATCTGTAATTAATATTTTGAACCTTAACGGAGTTTAATGTCTTGAGCAGACCTACTTAGGGTTTTATATTAATTTACCTTAGTCATACTCATTATGATACTTACATTTACATGTTATCCTGTATATTTTGATTCTTATCTTTTGAACAAAACAAAGGGATAAGAAAATAAAAATGCATTAGGGTTTTCATAATTGTCTGAAATACGGGTATTGTTCAGTTTTGCTGTAGTTTTTTGCCTCATATGCCATTTTAGTCTTTTCAATTTCTGTTTAGTAGGATATCTTATTATCCCCCTTGATAACTGAAGTTCACTTATAGTCCATTATGATGACTTGGTGAATTCAAGTTCACTCTAACTTTCATGATACTTTGGTTGATTTGGCTCATCCGCTATTAAATTGGAATGTGTCTATTCTTTTATGTGCAACGAAATATTGACTTTTGTTGCCCTACTCGTTAATCCCTCGTGAATCATGATAATTAGATATTTTTCTCGCATGGATTCAATTCTATACTAGATCTGTTCGTGCTTGTATTGCTTACATATTTCCTCTATGTTAGGACTCATGTGCAAGGTATTGGACTTGGAGTCCCACATTGGTTGTATGGGCAACTAATGTGGAATTTATAAGACCTTGGGTACTCTTACCTTTTGAGCTAGTTTTTGGGGTGGTGCACCTCAAGGTTCTTATCAAATGGTTTCAGAGCACCCACTATGTTTCGTAGATCGGAACCTGGAACTGGAACTCGGGGGTTGGGCCCTCTTGGACTTGGAACCCCGGGCTTGGGCTGTGAAGCGTTGTGGAATGTTAGGACCCATTTGCAAGGTATGGGACTTGGAGTCCCACATTGATTTTATGGGCAACTAATGTGGGGTTTATAAGGCCTTGGGCGCTCCCACCCTTTGAGCTAGTTTTTGGTGTGCTGCACCCCAAAGTTCTTACTAAATGGTAGTAGAGCACCCACTATGTTTCGCAAATTGGAACCTGGAACTGGAACCCGAGGGTTGGACCCTTGGACTTGGAACCCCGGGCTTGATCTGCGAAGCGTGGTGAAATATTAGGACCCATTTGCAAGTATGGGACTTGGAGCCCCACATGGTTGTATGGGCAACTAATGTGGGGTTTATAAGATCTTGGGCACTCCCACCCTTTTAGCTAGCTTTTGGGGTTGTGCATCTCAAGGTTCTTATCACTCTATTTACACAAATGTGTCTTGTTTGCTTTAGTTTCTTTGCAACCTGTCTTCTATTTTCCTCCCTCTCAACCCTTTATATTTATAAGCTTTTGTTGAAATCTGAAGACTAATATTTTTGCAGGCTTCCATGTGGATGACTCTGAAATCACCTTAAATATTTGCTTGGGAAAACAATTTTCTGGCGGAGAACTGTTCTTCCGGGGTGTTCGATGTGATGAACATGTAAATACTGATACCCAATCAGAGGTATGTATACCACCTTTCTGTTATAGGAAGATTATCTTTAGGCTCAATAATTTATATTTAGCTACATTATTCTCCGGCTGTTCAGCATGTCTTTAAATTCTTTTTCAAACTTAGGGGAAATAACAGTGCCAACCATTTGATGATTCATATCTTTTCAGTGTTCTGGGATCTGGATGGTTTTCCCACTTGCCACGTGTTTATTAAAAGATAATATATTCATAATTTTAAATTAAAATCAACTTAAAACTTGAATATATAACGAGTGTTTGTTGCATACAGCTGAGACTTAAGACAATCTAAAATGAGATCAAGAATAAAAAATAGTGGGTTGTGGGAGCATGAATGGACAAATACATTTGAATTTTTAGCTGTTCATTTAATATAATTCATACTCAATATTGAATGGCATTATAGCAGTATTAGAATATGATATTTTGACCAAACATATGTGATTAGTATATGAATTCCATGTGGACATCTATTTTTTGTTTTTCTTTTTAACTCCAAGCAAATCTGTGTAGGAGATCTTCGATTTCTCCCATGTTCCAGGACATGCAGTTCTTCATTGTGGTCGTCACCGGCATGGTGCTAGACCTACAACATCTGGTCATCGGATTAATTTAATTCTCTGGTGTAGAAGGTACTTGCATCACTTTCTTGTTATTACTTAACGAAATACAAATATTTTGCAAGAGGCTTTTTGTTTTCTGCAATCTCAGTGAGGCGTTTGGTACAGGAGAAATTTTTATTTGTTCGGGAATCTCGATTTTCAAAAATATGATTTTTGCATTCAGTTTACGTTAATATCTGAAAATTTAAAATTTAGAAAAATTCAGTTTCCCGGGAATCTCTCAAAATCCCGCGTAAATGTGAGTCCCAACTCAATGCCTATATCATAAGCATAATCATGGTCAATTTACATATGCATCAACCTTTTTTGTTGCAGTTCGGCATTTAGAGAGATGAAGAAATATCATAGAGGTTTTTATAGCTGGTGTGGAGAATGCAGACGCAAGAAGAAGGAGAAAGAGCGCATATCAGTTGCTGCCACTAAACAGGTAACAATAAATATGCCTTTGAGATGAAAGGAACGACTATGATTAATGTTGTCATCTTCCATGAAATTTATTCAGTATGTGTCTTCACTTTGCAGGAGTTACTAAAGAGGGGAGTTAAATCAGCCTCATGAACATGCACTTTCGAATCTTGCTTGTATAGTTGATTCATGATAATGTTAACTTTGACATGTTGAAACTCCTCCTCTCTTTCCACTCTGTTGTGCTTCTTTCCCGTTTCAGGATTCAGGATTCCTTTCAATGAAATTATATGTAATTTAAGTTGAAAGTCATAAACATGCATTTCATAATGTTAATGAACGGAAGATAAAAATAATTGAAGTTTAGTATTTGAATGTTCTAAGTTTCTAATGATAAGTTGGATGGAATTTTTCTAATGATAAATTCATGATCGGTTCTTTATTGTGGAGACTAAAATTGTAAAATCACACCACACCTTCAGCAGGTTTATGAACAAGTCAACAAATAAATGAAGGGTTTTATGAGTATAATGTTGTAGGATATAAGAAAAGTTTCCTACTCTCACAATAAAGAAGAGAGAGAAAGTAAAATGATGAAATAGAAAAAATAATATGTGGACCTTACCTCTTAATTGTGTGTGTAGGAAAGTTTTATTAGGTTATGTAACATGATATTAATAATATCCATAAATGAATTAAGTGAGGGAAACAAATTGTTCTGCTTTAAGAACCTAATCAAAACCAAGAAAACGCTTTCAAACCCACATTGACACGTCTCAATGTGCAATCAATTATGCATAGAATGGGTAGCCAGTAGCATATAGGCGTGCCGCGTGTGTTAAGTTTTTAACTCGTATCATCTTTCATGCTCTGTGGTGTTGTAGCCTTTGACTGAAAGTAACCCACCAACTAGAAGCATCAAAAGTAGAGCACTTCCAGTACCACTGTTGTACTGTGATCGCTGACTGCAACTGGTATTTATATTAGGGAAATAATTATCTCATATTGCATGAGATAATTATATCTCATACAACAGAGATAAAGTAGTGAGGTTCACATTATTTTTTTTTTTAATTTTTTTTTTTACAAATGATGAACTTCACTATCTTGTCTTTGTTGCATCAGATAATTATCTTATGCAACATGAGACTAATAGATCTCTTTATATTATGTACTATCGGTTTTATTTAAATAAAATATTAATTTTTTTTATCTTTTAAAGAACTATTTTAATAGATAATCCATAAGTAAAATATTAAAATTACTTTTTTTTCTTCTTTTTAAAAACTACTTCAACAAATGTAGCGGATTTTTATTGACCGGTTGTATATATCATGGTTGTATAAAAAATATTTCTCATTAAGAGGGCTTCTGTACCCAACCTGACAACTTGATTGTGACGAGCTATGTAATAGGACAATAATTGAAGACTTCTACCAGCAAACGTAAAATAAAATTCAGATTTGCGTGATTGTTTAATTGAAAGCTTTAAATAATGCGATAGAGATAAACATAAACATGATCTTTCTGACATTATATTCAAATATAAACTTAATATATATGTGGGGTTTTATAAGAGTTATGTTGTAGAAAAAATGATTCTATAATGTTATAGAGATTCGTTTTGCGTGTCGTAATTTTTTTTTTTCTTCAAAAAGTGTGCGCCTCACATAATATTGTGTGTGTAAGAAAGTTTGTTGTGTCATGTTAAATGACAAATACAAACCCCATATATGTATTCTTTCAACATACCATATTATATAAAAATAATCTTAAATTTCATCTCAAAGAAATTACGGAGTAGCTTACAGTTTCACATTCAAATGCGCTAGTAAGTATATCAAGCAACGTGCCAAAAGTTAGGCTTTTTGACTCTTTTGCCCTTAATTAAATAATTAATAACCAATTTACCCCTCCTCCAGAACTATCCATCATCCTGCCCTCATTTAGTCGATTAAGTTGCACTTTTAATCGACTAAATGGGCTAAACTCAGAAATTATGAAACGCGAATTTTAGTCGACTAAAAACTCACCTTAATCGACTAAAATGTTTGCACTTTTAGTCGACTAAGCACATTATTTAGTCGACTAAATGTCGCAGATCAGGTTTTTTAAAAAAAAAACCCATTTCGCAAAGGGGGTTATTTTGAAACCCTAATCGACTAAATCGCTGCATTCTGTCCCCTCTCTCCAACCAAGTCCGAATCTCAACCCTTGAAGGTGCGATTGAAGCTTCCTTGGTTCACACTTGCGAAATCGACATTTAGGTAATGTATTCTGACTTGTATTTGGTTTTAAGTTTAGTTTTTTTTTTTGGTTTTCTCCATGCATTTGATTTCTGTTTGCGGTTTTGTGGATTTAGGTTAAGGGTAGGTTGCTAAGTTTGTTGTGAGGGTGAGGGTTAGGGTTGATGTGGTGCCTTAGGCTTAGGGTTAGGGTTATGTTAGGGTTAGGGTTAGGGTTAGGGTTAGGGTTTACGTTGCTGTTTTGTTTGGGTTGTAGTGTTTAGGGTTAGGAATGGGTTTTTGTGTTCTGTTTTAGGGTTAGGGTTAGGGTTAGGGTTTCTGTTTCTGTTTTAGGGTTAGGGATAGGGTTTCTGATTTCTGTTTTATTTTAGGATTAGGTTTTGTTTTTTATATTGAATTTTAAATTTTTTGATATTGTTATTGTTCATTGATTTTTGTTTCCACTTGCATTGTAGGTACAGTTGTTCCCATGGCTGGCCGTAGAAGATCGTCTAGCACTGGAAATGAGAGACGACAGAAGCTACGACAAGACCGTCCGTCTTCGTCATGGCCACAAGAGGAAGACCCCGCTGCTGTCGACCTCCCATTCGGATACTTGTTCGAGAATGACCCGGTGGTTCATGAATCTTTTGTCCGTGACTTTGTTAATCGACCGATTTGTGGGGCCAAATCACTTGATACAGCCTTTTTTGAACAAGAAGGTTTTAACATTGTGAGGTGGTTGGAGGAATCACATCTTAGGACCTTGGCTGAACTGTCGTGTTCATATTCTGAGCTGCATGTACGGGCATTCTACCATAATCTCAACTACCATCAGGGTGAGCTGAGGTCTAAGGTCTGCGGGGTGGACATCATCATGACGGCTCCAGTATGGTTGGAGTTACTGGGGTATGACTTTGATTCTGCGCAGACTGTGGAATATGACGCAGACAGCGGGACCATACTTCCAGGATATACACGCGGTGATGCCGTGCAGGAGCAGAGGAGAGTCTGTGGGCAACACATTGCCTATACAGTGGGGTTGCTTATTGTGGAGTCCCGCATACTACACTATGTCATCACCCACATTTTGTTTCCGCGAGCGTTCAATCATTCCAGGGTGTTGGAGCATGACATTCCCATCATGTGGGCTATCCGACATGGTACTTCGGTGAACTGGAGGCACTACATCTGTTGGATGATGTATAAGGCCAAACACAAGGGTGCACTTCCATTTGCTTGTCTTGTTCAGAGGATATTGGAGCATTTTGATGTTCCCATGGGTAATGTGACCTTGAAGAAGACCACAGGGTATAATCATAAGTTTGGAAAACGTCTACTGGAGCAGTGCAAGATGACAAAGAACCCCCAAACAGGAGTGTGGCAGTTCACAGGTGCGGCTGATGTTGAGGTTCCTGATGTTGCTCCAGTTGTAGACATGGTTGACCCCGAGGTGGAGGATGATGATGACGATGATGATGAGGGTGACCAACAGGAGATAGCTGAGCCTGAGGGTGGGTTTTCATTACGTGATGTCATGAAGGGCATAAACGCCACGCTGAAGAAAATAGGAAAAATGGCGCTGAAACACAAAAAATGGAGGAAGAGTCGCGTGCAGAAGGGAAATGAAAGATTTAGACATATACAGGGACGGTTCAAGGGTGTTGAAGATAGGCTTGCTCGTCTAGAGCTTGGACGAGGACAGCAGATTGAGGATGTTGCAGGGTAGGGGGCTGATGTGTCAGATGAGGATGACGAGGAGACGGCGTCCGAGGAGGATGAGGATTAGATTTAGAGTTTATGTTTCTATTTTACGTTTCTAGTGTATGTTGTTATGTAATTGACTTCGGTCTTCCTATTTGACATTTGTAGTTTATGTAATATTATGGTTATGAAATGAACTATTTGATGTGTCCCTTCATGTTGTGAACCGTTTACGTAATTATTGCTGTTTTCTTGTTTACCAAATGAAGGAACAAATATCTTTTACCTTCTTGTTTTCAATTTGTGTCTAATCACAGTCCAACGGGTCTAAAATGTCCAATGAAATTCAGAACAGGTGACCTTAACAGAGTTAAAAAAAGAACACAAGTTTCGGATACCCTAACTTGGAGCATTTATGCAGTACATGTACATTCGTGGTTTATAACCTGTACAATACTATTTTGTACCTGAAAGTGTGTTCCCCAAGTCATTATATGCGTGTACATTGATATTCGATCGGTTCCGTGCCAAAAAAATGCGTGCAAAACAGAATGGGGTGTCAAAACCAGTTATTTAGTCGAGCAACCTGTACTGGTTTAGTCGACTACACAGTTTAGTCGACTAAACCAGTACAAGTTGCTCGACTAAATAACTGGTTTTGACACCCCATTCTGTTTTGCACGCATTTTTTTGGCACGGAACCGATCGAATATCAATGTACACGTATATAATGACTTGGGGAACACACTTTCAGGTACAAAATAGTATTGTACATGATTCGTATGCGATTGGGTACGTATTACCCCAAACCGTTTGTTTACGCTATCCGAAACTTGGTGATTTCATTTTTTGGTAATATTAGTATTAGTTATGAGTTTCAATCTATCAATATGGACCAATGTTAGATAATGGACTTAGAAATGAAATGTAAAATTACATAATGAGTTATACAGTAACACAAAGTAACATCACAATGTCTTACAAAAATTACATGAACTCTTACAAAAGACCTTAAATACATGCACAACATTGGTTCAGCTAGGATTAATCCTCATAGGACATGTACGTTTATTGTGACCAATTTGCTTGCAGGTGCTGCATCTAGTTTGACTGCTTGTGGGTTGGGACTCAACCCAATCCATTTCATTTTGTATCCTTGAAGACTTCGGTCTACCTTGTACACGAACCAAAGATGCATTTGGGATTAATGTTGGACCATCTATTTCTGGGATCAACAACTCATTACCCATTGGAAACCAATGTGCAGCATATACCTTCTCAATTTGTGTAATTGAGAACACAGGATCGACATAGTCATAGTGGTTCAATTTTTCAACCTTGCACACCGCTAGCACATTACTGCAAGGAAATCGTCTAGCTGTGAACCGTCCACATTGACATTTACGATTT